TATCATAACTATCTAATTTGCGCCGCTCTCGTGATTCGTGAAGCATAATACCTTCATAATATAAGGGCATAATACCAGCAAAAAAGGACATAATTCCCGTGATCGCTTCGAAACCTGACCAATATTCCGGTAATGAGACATTGTGTGTGATCACTGATCATGTTTCTATATGAACGATTTTGTGTGAGCTGTGAAGTAGCAAATTAGCAAATAAGGTTAGACCAAATAGTCTGTAATTTAATATATCACTTTGTCGTCTATGCGCTTAGTCTCGATCTGTTTATAAGCCTTTATAAATATATACTTCTTGACGGAAGTAACTATATTTTTTCAAATGCGTTTTTTCCCACCCACTAACAAAATTCCGCACCCCAAGAATTGCCAGCTGGGGGGGCCGTGGCCCCCGGCCCCCCCTGCCAGCACGCCACTGGTAATTTGATATAAGTCATTTCACACATAAAATGGTAGTTTAACTTTAAAACATCCATAGCGCAAATTAAATGTTTCTTTATAATTATATATCAGAATCTAAGTTAGCCTTTTCCAAATACAACAAAGTTTTATTTCAGTGCAATTTATAGCTTTTATAAGTTTTTACTTACAACAAATCAAACAGTGTATAGTTTTTTGGGGACACCCGGTATATGTATACAGATTACAGACAGTATATTTAAATAGTAAATTCATAGGCGTACGAGACAGGGGGGGGGGGGCAACTGCCCCCCTCCGAAATTTTGGAAAACCATGGAAATTTAGGCAAATGCTAGGAAAAATCAAGAAAATTTGGGCAGATTAATAAAAAAATAGATTAATTTCAAGTAATTTCATTACAATCCTGCATAACGTTCGGGCAAACTTTCAACTGCCCCCCGAAGAGCATCAGCCCCTCACGGCTGTGATTATAATTATTACAAAATTGTATAGCATCCTCTATTACAAAATTAATCATCAAATCTATTAAATATGTATAATTACAGTATGTTATAAACAAAGGACACCCGTTTATGTAATAAATTAACATAGAAGCTGGTAGAAAGAAAGAAAGAAAGCTGAATGTTATGGTACGCGGGTTTTGCCGAATGTTAATTACGATTGACGAATGTTGTCAGTTGATAATAGACGCTTTTAGATAACAAGACGCGGACGTCAAGCTAAGAGGACGTGAAAATGACGTATGCACCTCGCGTTCGCTTCCGGGTTTTAATCTGGGACGGCTTGTTTGTCTTTTTCGAAGCAAATTTTTGTTTTCTTGTTACCTGTTCATTCCTGTATTGTTTTCAATCAGTTGTCAAGATATGTACAAGAAAAGGCTATATAATACTGGGCAAGTGTTTCCTGATGAATTAGTATGGACATTCAATAAGTTTTTTTTAGAAAAAAAGTTATTTTTTTGTATTTTGAAAAGTGAACTTTGTTGCATCATTTGGAATAAATACAACAGCTGCAGGTATTGTTTACGAGCTAATTGTAGCCTATTCAATCAAGTTTGTCAACTGTTCAGTATAAATATAGCATCAGTGTTTATATTGGTAAAATTTAATACTGTTTACGATAGTTTTTCACGCTGGAAAGCGTTTTTTTTTGCTTGTCCTACTTTTTGCACTGTTGTGACAGAGCAACTAAAATTGATTGAGTTTTTACTGCTTTTAAGTGCTTTTATTTTTCTATTTTCCCACGTTTTCCTGATTTTAAACAGTCGTTAATATAACTTCAGTTTAGTTTGTTCTAAAATATTTGTTTTGGTGAAGATTACTAGCGGTATTGAAGTGGTTATTAACAAGGCTTGCAGTTTTGTTGATTTGTTTATGGCGACCGAAAGTATTTGTCGAAAATCAACTCGTCTAAAATTTAGCGAAATACAAGAAAAACAACCTTGTCAATGGAAAAACTTTAGCTAGTATCATTAAACAATACATGGGGAACAAAATAGGATGATTTTTATTATGCATAGTCTCATATTTTTTTCAAAAGAAGCAAAAATCTGTGACGTTCTAGAGAGGACGTGAAAATTGTATTTTCGCGTCGTGAAATCGTCCAAGACGACGTCGCAAACTAGAAGCTGGCGATAGTTGGCGCCAAATGACGACATCCACGTCCTCTTGACGTCCGCGTCTTGTTATCTAAAACAGTCTATTGACGCTATGTTGCAGTCATCATCAGGAATGACGCTATGTTGCAGTCATCATCAGGAATGACGCTATATTGCAGTCATCATCAGGAATGACGCTATGTTGCAGTCATCATCAGGAATGACGCTATGTTGCAGTCATCATCAGGAATGACGCTATATTGCAGTCATCATCAGGAATGACGCTATGTTGCAGTCATGATCAGGAATGACGCTATGTTGCAGTCATCATCAGGAATGACGCTATGTTGCAGTCATCATCAGGAATGACGCTATGTTGCAGTCATCATCAGGAATGACGCTATGTTGCAGTCATCATCAGGAATGACGCTATATTGCAGTCATCATCAGGAATGACGCTATGTTGCAGTCATCATCAGGAATGACGCTATATTGCAGTCATCATCAGGAATGACGCTATGTTGCAGTCATCATCAGGAATGACGCTATGTTGCAGTCATCATCAGGAATGACGCTATGTTGCAGTCATCATGAGGAATGACGCTATATTGCAGTCATCATGAGGAATGACGCTATGTTGCAGTCATCATCAGGAATGACGCTATATTGCAGTCATCATCAGGAATGACGCTATGTTGCAGTCATCATCAGGAATGACGCTATGTTGCAGTCATCATCAGGAATGACGCTATGTTGCAGTCATCATCAGGAATGACGCTATGTTGCAGTCATCATCAGGAATGACGCTATATTGCAGTCATCATCAGGAATGACGCTATGTTGCAGTCATCATCAGGAATGACGCTATGTTGCAGTCATCATCAGGAATGACGCTATGTTGCAGTCATCATCAGGAATGACGCTATGTTGCAGTCATCATCAGGAATGACGATATATTGCAGTCATCATCAGGAATGACGCTATGTTGCAGTCATCATCAGGAATGACGCTATGTTGCAGTCATCATCAGGAATGACGCTATATTGCAGTCATCATCAGTAATGACGCTATATTGCAGTCATCATCAGGAATGACGCTATGTTGCAGTCATCATCAGGAATGACGCTATGTTGCAGTCATCATCAGGAATGACGCTATGTTGCAGTCATCATCAGGAATGACGATATATTGCAGTCATCATCAGGAATGACGCTATGTTGCAGTCATCATCAGGAATGACGCTATATTGCAGCCATCATCAGGAATGACGCTATGTTGCAGTCATCATCAGGAATGACGCTATATTGCAGTCATCATCAGGAATGACGCTATGTTGCAGTCATCATCAGGAATGACGCCATGTTGCAGTCATCATCAGGAATGACGCTATGTTGCAGTCATCATCAGGAATGACGCTATATTGCAGTCATCATGAGGAATGACGCTATGTTGCAGTCATCATCAGGAATGACGCTATATTGCAGTCATCATCAGGAATGACGCTATGTTGCAGTCATCATCAGGAATGACGCTATGTTGCAGTCATCATCAGGAATGACGCTATATTGCAGTCATCATCAGGAATGACGCTATGTTGTAGTCATCATCAGGAATGACGCTATATTGCAGTCATCATCAGGAATGACGCTATGTTGCAGTCATCATCAGGAATGACGCTATATTGCAGTCATCATCAGGAATGACGCTATGTTGCAGTCATCATCAGGAATGACGCTATATTGCAGTCATCATCAGGAATGACGCTATGTTGTAGTCATCATCAGGAATGACGTTACGGAATGACGGACGCTATGTTGCAGTCATCATCAGGAATGACGCTATGTTGCAGTCATCATCAGGAATGACGCTATGTTGCAGTGTCCATTGTTTTGTATTTTTTATAGGACGTCAGTTCCAGTCCCTTTCTATTGTTTTTGTCTGCGCGGTTAACACGAAGCTGGCTTCACTTTTGGACTCGAGTTCTCGATGCAGATATATATGGAGCTCACTGGCTAAACCTTCAACACGCTATTGTCATGCAATAGCGAGCTTAAGCAAGCGACGTTTTTGTCAACACGGACGTCAGATGGCCGAGGGGGGGCATTGAAATGAATATAACTGGAACGCTACCTCCAACAGGAAATATGAAGCCAAACTTAAAGGCCAGTTCAGGTCTTTCACGCATGCGAAGAGCGTTCAATCCGTCAATCATGATATAAACATGCGTGATCCTACCTCCAGACACGCATGCATGGAAGTAAGATTTGGCTTCAAGAAAAAGATAGGCAGTTTATCCGAAGGTATTGTTATTGGTTTTAGAACGCTTGGGCTTAGTTCCGACTTATTTTATAAAGCTCATTCGTCTACAATTCATGTATTTGGCGAAGAAAACCGTCAAATTAAGCGGGAATATCAGCGATTTCTAACTGTTGACGTTGATGAATTACGAAATGACGATGATCAGATTCAATCCCGAACGTATTTTGTCGCACTTAACAATCCTAAAGAAAATGGTTCATTAGGTTATTACTATGGCAAAGTTCACTTGTTGACAACGTATATGTCTGAAGATGGAAATCATAGTATCGGGCAAGGAATACAGCTAACTTTGTTATCGCAAGCTAATCCCGAAGTGTTGCTCAACCAAGCCGAACGAGCTCAGATTTGCATGTCTCTTCAACCGAATATTTGCATATTACAGAAACGTGTTGCAAAGGACAAAAGGCTAAATCGCAAGCGTCTAAAATCTCGCATTCAATATTATTCCAATTGTGTGGCGACGTTCCAGTTGCTGATTATTACCTGTGGAGATATTCAAACAAACCCAGGACCTTCTACAACTGAACCAACATCAAGTAACAACCAATGTTATCGGCGTGTTTCTGCGGTTAAATGTCCAGCATGTGAGAAAACTGTTCGACGCAATCAAAAACGTATGGTTTGCAATATTTGCAAAGACTTGTATCATGCACGTTGTATCGAGGCAGTTATACCACAACACATCCCATCCGACAAGCCCGTTGAGCAGACATGTGATAGATGTTTAATATCACTGCTACCCTTCCATGGCCAACCTAATTTAGACGCTTCTTTTCGACAAGAAACCAGTGACAATCTTCTCAACGACATGCCCGATGAACATCTCAATGTCCTCACTAGTAGGGCTAACCAACTTAGGCTTGCACATTTAAACACACAAAGTATGGTGTCGACATTTGATGAGCTACTCGTCACCATTTCTAAATATCCATTTGATATAATAGCAATGAGTGAAACATGGCTAAAGAACAATCCTCACTTATTAGAATATGTTAACATTCCTGGCTACTCTAGCGCCTTTCGCAACCGAGATAAAATTCGTGGGGGAGGTGTTGGTGTGTATTTGAGGGATACTATTAACTACAAGAGGCGTACAGATATTGAAGACATCGAACCTGAACTAGAACACATATGGCTGGAAATACCTGGTAAAAATAAACACAGTAAGATGTTGCTCGGAGTATTGTATCGATCGGAGCGTTTACAGGACTTCCAAGCTTGGATGGACAAGACCGAAAATTTGCTAAGCCAGCTAAATGTCCTCTGGGATGGTCTACTTGTCGTCACGGGCGACATGATTAGAGACCTTAAGATTGACGTTTACGGCAAACGTCAAACCGCTAGCGAAGTTTTTGATTTTACAACTCTATTATTATAGCTTTCACACCAGTTTTGAAATATGTTAAACTTATTAAACTTGTGCTCTTTATCAATGATTTAAGAAAGCAAATTAACCACTAGTCATGCCATTCACCAAAGCAGTAAATTAAGATTTGGCGTTTGAAGTTGACGTTTGGCGTATAAATTTCATGCTTT